ACTCCTGTACCGTCATCTCAGTAAATTCTCTCTCCCTTTATTAATTCCATTTGTGAGTTTACATAATGAAAGTAATCACAGTTTAACAGTAATACATATGATGAAACTGAATTGAGAAAGGGTAAACTGCGAGTATAGAAGTAAAGTGGAACATAATTGAAAATCCAGTGTCATAAGTCTCTAAAACTTCTGGAAATATACCTAAAAACTCTCTTCAAATTGTCTCTCCAAATCCTCATTGTCTTCTAATTAAACCTTCCTTTTCACAAATAGCAACATTTAAAATTGAAAACACATTTAAGTCCATTGTTCTCTTCTGGCTACTTACTGTGGTACCTGTCCTGTTCTTCACACATTTCATTGCAAATATTTGGTATTTCAACTTGATAATGGGTTTATAGCCTTTGAATGACTAGTGTGAGAATCTAATCATCGTATATATCATTATTCCTATGGGCAAACTTGTTTCAAGTGAGCAATTCATAAACTTTCAGGAACATAAAAACTGTGAGTTGGTGACTTCCTGCGATTTGTTTTTTTGAAACATGGATAATGTATATGCCAAATCCAACAGAAAGAATTATCCAGAGTCTTCTAGAATGGTTTATCTAAGGTAATTTTTTAAGATTGCACATTCTTCTTTAGAGATTTAAAGTGTTGACCCATGGAATTGTATGGGAACTTACATATATAAGAAGGCTCTTTCTGACACAGAGCCTTGAGGAAGGAGAAAAATTACATAAAGGATGACCCAAGTATTAGAATCTCATATGCATGCTTAAGGTTTTCCAAAATAACTTCACTCTTTCTGGGAAGTTAGAAGCATTCTCTTTAAGACTTCTTAGTTAACTAGAAAATGAACAGTTCCAGCTTCAAAATGCTTTGTTCCTTTTTGATCAGATCAAAGAATTTTCCAAGTAAATAAAACTCTAGTTCTTGATAGGACAAAAAATCTTTACTATTATAAGATTCATTACAACAACAAAAGCTCAGTTAAGCTAGAAGTATTCGAAATTGTCTAAATAATAATCCTGGAGACGAAAGGCATTAACAAGGAATTAAAATAAAAGGCATGGTTGTGTGGGTATCCATATCTGAAAGAGAGAGAGACAGACAGAATATGCCACCCAGGAAACCAAGTCCTAGTTTTCAATTAGGTTAAGATGCCCACCTTCATACAAATTTTAAAAAGGTTCTTATTATAAGATCCTAAAAAAAAAAAGATGTTATGAGGGATCAAAAATATGAGCCTTATTGTTAAATGAAGTTGGGTCCAGAAAATTCTCACCTCCACTTATCAGAGTTCAGGAAAAACATGTAATTATGTCTTCTGAGGTAAATATGCTAATGCAAAACATCCAGATGACTATGCTGGTTCATTGTTTTTCCTCTAAAATTGAAGGAAGCAATAGATATATGACATAATAAAGGACTCCAATTTGGTTTATACTATTTATAAGAACTTGAATTGACTAAAAAAAAGAAACATGAACTTGGGTTCAAATTCCTTTCTGCCATTTTTCTGCCTCAAAATATTATTTTTTATTTTTGCAATTTCAAGAAAGTACTGCAAAAGGACTGCATGCAGAATACACTTATTTACAGGTCATCGTGAATAGTAAATATAATAAAATTTATTCAATCACCCTATACATTATAATTATATCCAGCAAACCCATAACAATGTACTTGTTAATTTTAAAAATTATTATATAGGATGAAGCCATTGGTTGAAACTTCTCCTTCTAAGACAGTACCGAAGAGCCTGGCTATGGAACTGAAAGCACAGTAACTTGCGGTACAGTTCTGTGACACAAGGGAAAACTTCCCAGGCTGCCCTACAAACACACAGATGTCCTAAGAAACCCTGACTTTGCTTAGCTTATCTTAGAAGGGGTAGCTAAAATGGCATTTTCAAACTTAAATAATAATATGTGAAAATAACAGAATCCTTGAAGCGTTGCCCTAATCACATAGACTGCATTGTAAGCTTAACCAGTATATGTGCCTTTTAGCAAATAACTCCCTTTGCTCACCCTCTCTCCCTTCCCATTCATACCACAGAAGGCTCCATATCATGGGGCATTCCTTAGGAAAGACACAGCTCCATACCAACCACTGCCAAAAAATAAAGACGGCAGGAATCAGTTAATCCAATATCAAATTAAAATACATGTTTTTAAATAAAAATATTTGAAAGGAATCATGGAGCCACAAACTACTGGTAATATGTCTGAGGTCCCTGCATAATTATTTCACTACCTTCTATGCTGGGGAGGTAGTAACATTCTTCAACTATGACCAGAATTTCTAATAGGCATTGAATGAAAGGAGCCCGTATCTCATTCCATCAAAACAGGATCACAAAACTAAACTATGAGACATTCTGAAGAATATTTGTTTACTTCTGTTTTACACAGAGTAGAGAAGTAGCTTGGAAAAGTTGCCACGGCCATGCTTTTCCTGAGCAGCAGACTAAAACACTTTGGTGAATATCAAAATATATACAATGTAAATGTAGGCTCTCTCCCTTCCTTAATAATGTACTGCATGTGTGTGTAACTGTGTGTATGTGTGTGGGCGAATGTACTAGTTGATGAGGGACATCATTTAACCATCTTCATGGTGGGTGACACATTCTCAGAGCCCGCTGTTTCAGCAGAGGGCTTCCATGATGGGATTTTAGGGTGTCTTTTAAGAGGTTCCTTATCTTTCCAAGGTTATTGTGATAGATGGAAGAGTCTAGCTTCCTCTCAGGGTGAGTTAAGTAGAAATAATAACTGCTCTGCCACATCTTCAGAATACGAGCAATTCAGAGGTGAAATTCTGGGGTGCAATATCAGAAAGATATATATATTGCCAGAAAGACTGGCAACTCAGTTACAAGGCTATTGATAGGCAAATTGATTTCTAGTTAAGGTTCCTACCTGCCTTTCTAAGGTCACTGAACCATTAATATAATAAGTCTAGAAAAGCATGTAAGGAGGAACTATGGGTAGATAGAAATGATTAGTTTCATTAAAATTTTGAAGCCAATGGGAACACCTGTCCATTTTCTTTTGCAGGGATCTGATGGAAGGCAACTGCATCCATAGTGTCACCTCTAATTCAAAACAGTGCTAAAATAACATCCTTCCTTAGATGAATTTGGCAGAGCAATAGTGCTAATTCAGCTCCAACACACGTCTTTGTTACAGTTCTTATTTCAGTTTCGGCAGCTCAGATAAGCTTATCAGAAGGCTTTGAACTGACTGACATTCCGGGATGGCACAATAGACGATATTGCCAAGAGAGTCGTTCATGAGCATCCGTAAATATTACTTCCTTCAAAAAAGACACTAACTTTGTAGTTTGCAAGGCAAGAAGTAAAAATGAAAGAGCTTCCACTTCCCTGTGTAAGATTCAGACCTAATCAGAGTATATGCAGATTTCTTTTTAGGAAATGTTACAAATGAAATTTAGCTGGAGAAATATAGTACCTCTATAGACAAGATTGTTTTTGGTTTTTTTTGTGAAGAGGGTAATCCACATGAGTTTAAATTGAAAAGTGTATCAGTAATACTCTCTGTTTGTCTTGCCTTGTTATTCAAAGATTAAATTCATTTTAAATTAGTGAAAATGATTTAATCTTAGGGCGTTAGTAATCTCAGTTTATTTAGACCTGTATTTTAAAGAACCAGCTTGAGAGCCCTTCGCAAACAAGACCAGGCTCCATAACAAAATGATACCCAATCTCTCTTTTAAGGCTATTTTCTAAAATCTGTAGGCCATGACTGTAGAATTCTTCACTTCCCCAAATTACATTAACAATGTTTGACATGATGACAGAGAGAGCAAAAAGAATTCATTTCTGCCAAATAAGTGTGGGCTACACCACTGCTTTTTGAAACCATCCTCCTCTTATTCCATTTTGGTAAATTTCTAAGGAATGTTTAAAATCTGTAGGACAGACCTTGGCTTAAGAGGTGGCCTCTCTGCCATTTTCATGGCTGATTTGAGACCCATTATGCACTCGATTCTGCATTGTGAAATCCAGGCTGGGGACAAATTTCTGCCTGTCATCTTAGGAAAGGCCAGGAGTTTTGCACCATCCTGTAGTATGAAAACAAAATCAAAGCCAGGGTAGGGCTGCCTGCTTCTTTCTTAATCACCTTGCTGCTTTTTTGAGGCAATCTTGGCTGTCATTATCTCAGGCATGGAAGGGTAATTTAGTAGAATAAAATATAGTTTAAACAACACCTCCCCAGGGAAAGTTGCTTCTTACACTTAATATTGAATGTAAAAAGGTAATCAGTAAGTAATCCTTTGGTGCTTGGCTAAGAATCATTCCATGAGAATGCGTTTAGGAAGCATAAAATCCCTTTTTCTTTAACCTGATAAGACCCTGAATCCAGGGCTAAGAGGCCCAGATATTTTCCTCATATTGCTCATTCTGTTGCATGACATCCCCATATAACTATAGCTTATGGACCAAATTTGCTGCACCTCTCACTCCAATAAGATGTAAATTGCGGAGATAAAAATCTTCCAAGAATTTAAAAAAAAAATTTAAACAGTTCACTGAAAATGACAGCATGGGTAACTCTGTCAATGACCTCCTCTATCTAATGTCAATTTCAGGAAACAAGTTTCCATTGTAAATGTTTAATCAGTGTAGTCCCAGGAACCCAGAGCAGAAAACCTTATCTTCTCTCCCAACTTATTTGCTCTGCAAGCTCTTTCTTAGCTCTATCTCGGCTCCCTGGAAGCACTATGAGGTTTATTTTTCCCCCCCTCAAAAGAGCTGGGAGCTCTGTAGGTTCTGAGCTAAACAGCAGCCTTGTGGTTTGATTCCATTAGTCTGAGCCCTGGTCCGCTGCAAGCAAACTGCAGCATTTCTGCTTGCAAATCCTGGCAACCAGGTTCTAGACTAGCCCCAAACACAGGCTGCACACATTCTTCAACGCTGTTCTGCCCAAACCTTGCCTGAAGCCAGTCAACCACAGCAGAAAGCATCCTACCTTCCATCATGGTGGCAGAATTGCATTCCTTAATTTCCAAGGAGTCTGAAAAATACAGGAGGATAGGATTCCAGGTCCCAGCCAAGTCCTCGCAACGCCGCTGCCGAGAGGTCGGCTCTGTCCACTGCTGAAGCCAAATGAGACAAGTGTTAACCCCAAAGATAGGCCATGGATGCTCCTGGTGCCGCTTCACCTACAGGCTCCCAGGAAGATGCTGCGAGAGAAAGGGAGAGGAACAGCAAGCCGGCCGAGCTGCACCGCCTGCGCTGCCTCGGCCAATCCCTTCAGCTCTGGACCGCGTCACATGGTAGCCAGCCTGCATCTCCTGACACAATACCCCGGGAGAGCACACAGAACCTATTTTCCGTCCCTATTCCCCTCCACCCCCACCCCTCCCGCTAGTCACCAAACGCACAGCCCCTTCCCCACCTGGTGACGCACTTCCCCGCCCCTCCTCTTCGTCTCTTAAGCCTATTGCAGCGGCTGGGTACCCGAGATTAATTATCAGACGCTGCCACCTTAACGGGGGACTCGGGCATGAAAGGAGCACCTAAGTGGCTCGCTGCGGAGGGGATTGTTTTTTCTTTCTTTCTTTCTTTTTTTAAAGAAAAACTTGTTAATAATTACGTGCAGTCTGAGGTCTTAGCCGCACACTTCTAAGCGCCCATTCCCGTCTCCTTTTGCCCTGCAGGAATTCCAAACGTTAATGTCTGTGGCCCCCGCACACGTCCGTGAGTCTCTCTCTCTCTCTTTCAAGAGAGAAAAATCAATCCGGCTGACGTCACATCATAAGCAATTATCCCCAAAAGGATGATGCAGAAGAAATTTCATCCCAGCTGCCTTCAACAGAGCCAGGGAATTAATCGCGCATGACATGCTCAAGGGCTGGGAACTGTCATTAAAACAAAGAAACAAAAGAACCCACCCGAGTGGGGCTCTGGAATCAAACTGGCAACGCTTGAGATAATTTCTGGGGAGGGAGGCGGGAGAGACGGCAGCAGGCAGGGCGGCCAGGCCTTCGCCCGCCGGAGGACAGCTGTGCGCGCCGCCTGCTCCCGCGGCAGCCTGGACGCGCCGCCCGCCCCGGCCCGACCCCGCCGCGCTCCGCGTTCCAGTCCCCGCTCCGCGCCCGCCGCGCGCCCACCCGGGGCCCCGCACGCGGGAGCCGCCTCCTTCCCCAGGTGCAGCGGGGCTGTGCCGCCAACTGCAGGCCCTGGAGGAAACCAGCGTTCTTCTAGAGGACACCACGGTTTTTCGCAAGGCGCCTCCGGCATCTGTAACCGCCTTCCAGCCCATTCGTTCACCCCAGTGGAAATCCGGAGGGAGGAGAGCGTGCCGGGTTCTGGCCGGAGGGGTGGGTGGAGCCCAGGGGTTTGTAGCTTCCAGGGATGGGATCTGGATGCCGGGCTGCTGCCCAAGTGCAAAGGGTTATGGCACCCTGGCTGCAGGGGCTGAAAAATCTGTCCCCTGACTCGTCCCCAGGGACCCCGGGAGCCTTTCGAAGGGCCTGAGGCCCTGGGGTCCGGCGATCTTGGGTTCCTTTTCAAGCAGGCTCTGACAGCTAAGGAAGAAGCGGGCAGCTGCGTATGGGAGGGAAGAGAGGGAAGGGAGATCAGAAGAGGGAAAGTCCTCCTTAGAACTCTAGGGGACAACAGCAGAAGTGGGGCATTTCTCCCTCTACAATCTAGCAGGAGGATTGGGAGAAAAGCCCTAACATCACAGACCAGTTGTGAGCATCAAATGAAATAACTTTAAGAAGTTAAGATGCATTACATGATCAGTGTTGAGTCTCTAATGCTATTATTAATCTTTTATGTCATAGATATATCCACAAATTTTTAATATTGCTTAGCCCGTGACATAGTCTAGTTCTTTCCACCAGAGCAAATATGAGGTATTGCTGGCTAAGACCTAGGAAAGAAAATATAACTCAAAAAGCTGACTGAAGCGCATACTAACAGTTCAACAAACAAACAAACAAACAAACAAACAAACACCAAAAACTCAGTTCCTTAGCAACTTAGAAGTTTTTAAAAACTCTTATTCTCCCTAAGGACACATATTTCAGTAGCCTCGAAATTTCACAATGACACTCTCCAGGGAGATACAAATACTTGTGCCTTTTTCCTTATTATCTATGAGGCAGTTGAATTTTAAAAGAGAAAAGAATTTCAAAGTAAAACTTGTGTTGAGTACAATTTACACTGTTCTGAAAACTGCAGAAACAAGATTCATGTGTGTGTGTATTTAACCAAATTTTCTGTGGTGGTTAAGAACATGGATAACTACTGACATCAAACAGACTGGGTTCAATTCTGTCCCTGCCACTTAATGAGCTCTGTGATCCTGTACAAGTTATGTAATTCTCTGTGCCTCACAATTTCTTTATCTGTAAAGTGGGGATCAAAATAGTACCAAGTTCATAGGGCTATAAATAGTAGCAATAACAAACATTTATTAATGACTTACTATGTGCCAAGCAGTAGTCTAAATACTTGGCCAGTAAATTACTTAGCATAGTGTCTGGAGCATAATAAACTCCCCATGTTAGCTTTTTAGTATCGGTTGTATTACCCTCAAAGGGCTGCCAGAGGCATTGGAGAAGTTTTTAGCTACCTGAGATTATACCACATACACAGAGGGGATGCATCCAGAGGTGGAACAATTTGGAGCTTTCTGAGGCTCCAGGGGACAGGTGAGTAGAAGAGAGATTTGAAACAAAGGAGGTTAGGGAAGGTCCACTTTCAGAGATGGAGTTTTGGAGTTCGGGAAAAAATGGAATGGACTTGGAGTGGCAGTTCTAAATCAAATAGGGGGTTTGAAATAAGAAAAATGGCTCAGATAATATCTGGAGGTAAGTGCAAGCCCTGAGATGTGGAAATAAGAATTATTTTAAGAGATGTAAGGGGCAAGAGAACCAGAGAAACCCAGGTTGCCTGCCTTCCCTCACTCAAAGTACATTTTACAGTATATTAGGGCAAACTTCTCAGAGATTTAGCATGGACACAATATCAGTTTTGTTTTAGACATGCAGCGAGGCAGCTAGTTAGAGACGGAGACAGCTCAAAGAATTTTTCCATCAGTGGGGTGTTTATAGGAAAAAGAAGTGTCTGGATGTGATTGTCAGAGAAGGACCAAGAAAGGGATGTGTCGTCAAAGGTGGTAAGGCTAGTCTGAAGACCAGTTAAACTTTGTGCAACTTTATTACCAACTGTAATTACCAATTGCTAATTACCAACTATAAGAACACTTGAGGAGCAAAGTTCTGCTTCAAATAAAAAATTGCCCAAGTATGTTCTCAGAACAGATTAAGCATCTTAATTTTGTCTTCTCATAGGTTTTTTTTTTTTTTAAATTTTATTTATTTGACAGAGAGAGAGAGAGACAGACAGCTAGAAAGAAAACACAAGCAGGGGGAGTGGGAGAGGGAGAAGCAGGCTCCCCGCTGAGCAAGGAGCCCGATGTGGGGCTTGATCCCAGGACCCTGGGACATGACCTGAGCTGAAAGCAGACGCTTAATGACTGAGCCACCCAGGCACCCCTTCTCATAGGTTTTTGAGAAAAAAAAAAAAAAAAGGTTTTTCTCAAGAACAAAGATAACACATTATATCATGGCTCAAATTTCATTATTTCCTAGTACAGTTTTTGCTTACCAACAAGTACAAAAGGGAATTTTTAGCTGCTGAAATAATGGAATATTTTTTGCAAATTGTAAATGGAAGTCAAAAGAAAAGATTGTTTAAATTACTAACTTGCTTCAAAGTGCAAGGACTGCCTATAGGGATTTAGTCCAGGGTGGTGAGCGTGAGCCCAGATCATACCAGGCTCTCAGGGCCTGCACCAGTCCAAGACCAAAACCTTAATTGCTGAAGTCATTAGACATTGAAATGTTTTTTCCTGAAATAACATTTGTATGGTGGTGATGCCCTGTTACACATGTTTTTGGAATCAAATCCTATTATATTCTTACTATAAAAGTTGAACTTCTTCACGATTTCCCAATTTTAGTGTTTGAGGAAAAATCTGCTCATAGTTCATGAGAACTGAGTCACAAAGGAAGGAGGAAAGAAAATTAACATAGCAGTGACGTTTAATAAGTGGATATATAAGGATGTAGATAAGACATACAGGTATATAGATAGAGATATATCTCCCAGATGGTGATCTTAACATGGCATTTGATTCTGTCCCTCTTGCCGTCCCCGCTGAGGCAATTCAATGAATGTAGAAGAGAAAATATTGTCCAAGCCCTGGAAATCAGCAAGGTCCCACTGGAAGAGTTAGATTTCCATGGGATGAAATAGGTGAAATAATATATATATTATAATATATTATAACTCTGTGAGCTCTACACAAATAAAGCCCCCTTTGGCCATGTCAGTTAGAATGAAGAATGCCAATTGGAACCGACATGGCCAAAGGTGGCTTTATTCGGGTAGCTCTCAGAGTTACATGAAGGACTACATAGAAAGCAAGAACTAGGATACTCCAGGAAACTTTGTTACCAAAACCAAGTACTCACGACTCTGTTTCTCTCAGCATGTCTGCTGGGTTTTCTCTTACTAATTTTTCTCCCTGTGATCTGAGAGATGGCCATTTAAATCCTTTAAGCTCCCATCTTCAGAGCCTGACCATTCAAGATCTACTTCAAAAAGCTTCTGGAAAAGGGCTGTGATTGAACTGGCTTGGCTCACTCTTCACCCTCTGGACCAATCAATGAGACCAGGTTAATGAGGTATCATACTGGACTTTTTTAAACCAAAACTCACATTGAACTTCGTCACATGCCTACCACCGTGACTAAATATGGGAAGGAAATAGGGAAATTTCTGTGACAAAAAACCCTTAATAATATGAACCCCTTATATATTTGGAGGGGTAGAAAAGGCATTGTCAAAGGATGAAGGAGCACTATTACAGACTAAGTGTGGGGAGAGAAACTATGAAACAAAGGCTGTTTGCCATGGACATTACTCAGTTCACCTAAGATAAAACTTATAAAAGGATTCATGATCCAGAGGGACTGAAAATGCTACTCTAATCCCATTCAGCATACTTGAGAGGTTACTCATATATTCTCACTCACCATGTCCTGAGAAAAACCGCAGACCTCATAGTTGTCCTCCTCACTGTGGGGGGGGGGCGGGGAAGGGGGAAGCAGACCGTACTTCTTGGCTCACTTATCCCAAATACAAGACATGCCCTGGTATGCTTGTCACGCACTGC